AGATGAGGCCTCACTAGGGCAGTGTAGAGGGGAAGGAGAACCTCCCTTGTCCTGCTGGCCACACTCTTCTTGATGCACCCCAGGATCCCATTGGCTTTCTTGGCAGCCAGGGCACACTGCTGGCTCATAGTTAACCTGTCGTCCACCAGGACACCCAGGTCCCTCTCCGCAGAGCTGCTCTCCAGCAGGTCCACCCCAAGCCTGTACTGGTGCATGAGGTTGTTCCTCCCCAGGTGCAGGACCCTGCATTTGCCTTTGTTGAACCTCATCAGGTTCCTCTCTGCCCAACTTTCCAGCCTGTCCAGGTCACGCTGAATGGCAGCACAGCCTTCTGGTGTGTCTACCACACCTCCCAGTTTGGTGTCATCAGCAAACTTGCTGAGGGTACATTCTAACTCTTCATCCAGGTTGTTGATGAAGAAGTTAAACAAGGCTGGGCCCAGTACTGACCCCTGGGGAACACCACTAGTTACCGGCCTCCAACTAGACTCAGCGCTGCTGATGACGACCCTCTGAGTTCTGCCATTCAGCCAGTTCTCTATCCACTTCACCGACCACTCATTCAGCCTCTACTTCCTGAGCTTCCTCCCACTCCACGTCAAAAAAAAAATTAATTTGGCAGAAACAAAAGAAACACAGTAAACCTACAGACCTCTGAAAGTAAATGATTACAATATAGCTGGGAAAATACAATTGTTTTCATGTATATAGTGGAAGAATGTCCCAACTGTGTAATATTGATCAGACTGATAATACAGTTAGCAGCACAAGTGAGTACAAATGATTTGGCAGTACTGGTAACTTTATATCTACCCTAAATAGTATAACACTGTTGAGATCATTGGTCTTCTTTACAACAGGTTAATCACATTTTATAAGTTATAGTTTTCCCTTCTGAAATGACCTGTAGTGAGTTTCTACTGTAAGAACATATTACAGATAATATGAAATTGGCCTTTTGAATGCAAGGCTGTGGTATAGGCAAAAATAAACTTAGTACCACAAGCGGGCATTCACAAAGATTTTTACTGCTTCCCTTTCTTTGTTCTCAAACACACTACTGCTTTTCAGAACAAAAGTTAACATAGGTGAAATTAATCAAATTATTTCATTGTCAAATGTACAAAACAGCAGGGGCAAATTAACACCGTCATATCTTTTCTCATCAGAAAGAACACCCAGAATGTTTTACACATTATGGTGCTAGTCCTAAAAGTGTATTCACATAGCTCTGTAAGTCTGTCCCTGTCAGCTCCGATCCTGCTGTTAAAATTTTTCACCAACATTCAACGTGACTAAAATGCTGCAACTCTTCACAAACAATAGCAAGCAAGAATCTGGATATAACTCACACCCCATGTAAAACTGCTTGAGAACCTTCATATGGGAACTGCCCACATGTTAAAAATTAAGACATATGTTGAAATACGTCTTTGGACTGGGCCTGTGACTCAGAAACAAGGATTATACCAATGTGTGATAACAAGCTGTGTCTCAAATCTCACAGAAAAAAATCTTCTGTGTTCCTTTGATTACTTCCCACATGGTACTTAAAGGTAACACTGAACTAGAATGCACAGAGACGATTCCTTACCTTCTTCCTTTTACCTCTGCTACCACAACACTAGAGAAGCCACTAACCTATACAGCTTCATCCTACATCTCCAGAGCCACTCTAAGTCCATGCAGTTATCTGAAACACCAGTTACCAAGTCCTTTTTGCTTAACTCTGCTCTTTCATTTGTTCTGTTTAATGACTTCAAAAATTTTCAATCTAGGAAAAATGTATTCATTCACGACCTTTTCTCTTCAGATATGGCACTTATTTTTTCTAAGACATCTATATATATATTTTAGTGCAAAAGGAAGCAATTTCTCAGCTATTAACGATTCATTACCAATGTGGAAGGTAGCATTTATGCACCTGTAGGTAGATACCCCTTTCAGCATATCCCAACTCCCTAGCAAAGAGTCAGGGTCAGTTCAGATTTCTCTCACTCAGAACCAGGTTAGGAAAACCATTATTTTTGGGTCTTCCAGGGGATGATGTGGAATCTTTGATAATGAGTGTGCAGAACATTTATTCTAAACGCCATCTGGAGGAAGGCAAATACTTCGGGTTTTGAGAGATGCCACTGGAAGGTATTGATTTCCATATGATTTTACATGTCTGTCACAGATTGAGTCACAGGTTTGTTTGCCATAATACAAAAGTTCCACATATTAGAAAGCTTTATACACAGGGAATGGACACAGAACTTGGTCACTTGCATGTTATAAGATCTGTCACATAATGATTAAACACATCCCTAAAGGAGTTCAGCACTTTAATTTAGATCCGTATTTGCATGTTACAGATAAATATATTTGCAGCTCTGGAAACTTCCATGATGAACAAACTCTGCTGACCGAATTTCAGGGAAAGCGCATTTAGTTCTGCAGAATTTTTTCCCTTTCCTGCTAAAAAGCAGTGTTTTCCTTTGTTTTTAAGTACACATAGATGTACACATAGTTTTTAAGTATACTTCAGCAACCCTCCTGATTAATTTTTCTAGCATAAAATTTGGCATTCATGCACATCTGCACGTTAACATTAGTGGCTCTAGGTGTCCCTGCTTGAGCAGGGGGCTTGGTCCAGATGACCTCCAGAGGTCTCTTCCAACCTCAGCCACTCTGTGATTGGGTTATTACAGTGTCTTCCTAAGGACAGAACACGATGCAGGTTAATAATAGCTGAAATTTACATAGGACTGTCAATTTTAAGAGCAGAAATTGTAATGAATTACTCTGCATTAATCAAAGAAAAAGAGGAATTAATCAGACATCTGAATGGCTTTTTTCAGTGACCTCTTCCCTTTCCTTTTACTCCACACAATGCATTGTTATATAAAGGATTTCACTATTATTTAAAGTTCTACATCATGTGCTACTGATATGGCAGAAACAAATTATAATGGTAGGAGTGTTTTCAATGTCAAAAGTATCTTCAATGTGAGAGGAGATCCATGCTTCAACACTAAGTCAAGACACAGGAAGCTTCATGAAAACATATGCATGACTTTCCCAATAAACGGCTGCAACTCACAGGATAAAAATATATTAATAAGGTTGGCATGAAGAAACGATGCTTTTATGCTGAAGGTGCTGGACCAGGCACAAAATTTGCAAGAGTGCCCAAGTACCATTTTCAAATATAACTTTCAGTGGACAAGTTATTTTAAGCCTAAATACTTCTAAGGATCTTTTTTTATGGGTTCTGATCCATTTAAAACAGTACCCCCATCTAGGAAATCTCTATAAGCACTTTAACTATCTTTGAATTCAAATCAAATAAAAATTTTTGAAAAATTCGAATAAGTGCTATTCACATGATGAAAGAACAAAGTTTTTTAAATTTCAGAGCCGTATTTATTTAGAAAATAGGACTGTGAAGATTACGAACATTGCACACCTGGCTGTTTTGCCTCCCTCCCCAGCTTGTAAAAAGAAGGTCAGAAGACAGGAGCATTGCAAAACAAGTATGTTCATTGTCATCCACCACTGCTCCAATACTCTGAATATATATAGATAAGCACATAAACAGATAAAAGAGAACATAGATAAAATTTAACAAAAATTAAACATGTTTTAAGTGAAATTATCAGATGAGGTATATTTCAAAGCAGCCATAAGGAAGAAGGTCCTTATGATCTGTTCAAAGATGTCTCATCTGTAATACACATGAGAATTTCCAGCTTAAGCTACACGTTGGTGAAGCTGAGAAACCTGAGTTGAGAGTAAAAATGAGACAAACTAATTTGATGTTGCTTATAAACTACAAACTAATGAACTGCAGAGTAAAATAGAAAAATTTAAGCTTTGCCTTCTGTCTCCAGATTAACCTTTAAAAGGACTGAGAACACAACATTAGAGACAGTCCTCCAGAGGACAATTAAAACCAATGTCTTCTAATATTCCCTCCATGTACTTTTCAATAATCAATCATTTCTTTGGTCTGTGCATCATTTCTAGAAACAAGAATTTTAAGGTGCACAGTGCTGCAAATGCTTTAAAACAGCTTTTGCATGTATTATGGCTATAAATTTACAAGCCTGGGAGACTCCTATCTTCAGGAGTACTTTATTTGCAGTGAAAAGTGGCTAATACTGACAAATTACACAACAATCTTTAAGGAATATGAAACACGAAAAGAAAATAAACCTTTTTTAAATTAATTTATGAAATTCAAAGGTTACTCAAACTTCAGCTGTT